AGTTGTGGTTATTCTGACCTCCATTTCTAAGACTGACCCTGGAAATGTTATGACCAGAAAGTTAAGAGCCAAGCAACAAAGGATCCATGATCTTGATTGATCTTGATTAGAGAAAAAAAAATTGGAATCTTTTTTTAAACAGTCTATTCTATATCACATGAAAAGAATCAAAATAATAACCTGGTATTAGCCCCCGTAAGGTAACCAAGTGTCTTAGAATCATGAACCTCCTGAGAACTTATGACCGAACACCAACCTAGGACATTTTGGCGTTGAAAATGGTCTCAAACTATTTACATTGCCTTTTCCTGTGAGTTTTAACAGTGAAGTGGGTCCTTCCCTTATTTCTAAACACTTGGCTTTCTTGTATTAGCATCAAGGTAAGCAGAAGTGCCTAAAATCACAGCATCATTTTTTATTGCTCAGAGGGGGAGCTCATTAATGTCCAATTGGGTTTAATACTGGAATTGTTTTTGCATTTAAAACTATCTTTTGTAATCTCAATGTAAGACCAGAAACCTGTGCCTTGCTTAGAGTACAGTATTTCCATCTTAGAAGGGAGGGAGGCCCTATACCTAGGGCGACCGTATAATTTAGCATCCCTACCGGGTCACTTTTGAGAGTGAAAGAGAACTTTGCTCATAACTGCGTCAGAATAACAGACAAACTCTGAGGTCTCTCTCAGGCAAACCCTGCTATACAACAAGCTGTAGAGATCACCCATGATCCAATACATCTTGCCACAAAGACTTGCAAATCAGTGATTTCCTGTTATATTTTTAAATTTGTATTGACTTATCTATTCATTTTGTACTGGGCTAGATCTTAGGTACTGCACTCGGGCTTTCTCTAGTTGCAGTGAGCGGCGGCTGCTCTTCGTCGTGTTACAGGGGCTTAGTTGTCCTGGGGCATGTGGGATTTTTCCGAACCAGGGATTGAACCCATGTCCCCTGCATTGGCAGGCGAACTCTTAACCACTGGACCACAAGAGAAGCCCGCAGATAGTGATTTTTAAGAAACTTCTACTTTTCCATAAGTTTTCCCTACCTGCCGTTTTAATTGCGGCAGACTCTGTTCTCTGTCGTATTCATGATTCCAGATGATAACCAGGAACTGTTTTACCTGTGCAACAATTGAGTATGATAATGGCAGGAGGATGCCATGGGGTCGGGGGTGAAGAGAGACAGAGGATGAGGAAGTGAAGGCAGTGAATTTGCAGAAAGTCAAGCGTCTCAGTAAAACATCTGACAAGACCTTCTGCTGAGAGGACTTGAGCATCGAGAGGGTTCCCAGGGAGGGGCCAGAGTTCGGGATGTGTTCCAGGGTCATCCCATTTGCACTTTCAGGATGAGATCTAAATATTTAACCTTCAGCTGGAAGAGGGCAGTATTCAGCACCCTGTACCCAAGGAAACAAAGCCAAGAGCACTCATCCGTGAAAATCTTTGTTTCAGAGATAAAGACAAGGCCAATTAACGTGGTGGGTCAAAAGGGCTCTCACTTTATTTCTACAGCTGTTTTCTTCCCCGGGTGACTCAGCTTGGCAGTAGCTTGCCCACAACTCGAAGAAATGACTCACACACCTTCACTAGCAAGATGCCAGGGACTGCAAGGCTCCCAGCTGCCTGCCAGCGGAGCCATGTTGTTGGCTGTCCAGGTCATACTCAGGGGTTAAACTCACAGGGAAGGATATTTAGGTTCTTTCTTTCCCAGTCCCGTGTACAGTCACACGGGGTGTTACTGTGTGTTCTCGTTCCGCATGATTCAGGCTTCCTCCTCACCCAGTTCATGGTGGCACACCCACCATGCGCCTAGCGTGGAGTTCGCAGGTGACTCAACGTCCCTGTCCACAGAGAACACCCAGTCTCTGGGTTCTTGTATTCCCGCCTGCTGAGTCATGTTGGTGCCATTTTGGGGTATTTGGCTTTGAAATAGTAGCGTTCAGGCTGTCTTAGCCCTGTCTCTGTTAAGGGGTGTGAGGTATAAGGGTCGTTCCTGTCCCCCACAGTTTGCTATTCAAAGATGGGCCTGTGGTACTCATCTCTCTAAGGCCAGGGTGGTAGTGGTAGCGGCAGTCGCTCAGTCGTATCCGACTCTGTGACCCCACAGACTGTAGCCTGCCAGGATCCTCTGTCCATGGGATTCTCCAGGAAAGAATTCTGAAGTGGGTGGCCATGCCCTCCTCCAGGAGATCTGCCTAACCCAGAGATCAAACCTGGGTTTCCTGCATTGCAGGCAGATTCTTTACAATTGAGCTACAGGGAAGTCCTAAGGCCAGAGTGGTGGTTTGGTTTAGTTACTAAGTCATGTCTGACTCTTTGCAACCCCGTGGACTGTGACCTGCCAGGCTCCTCTGTCCAGGGATTCTCCAGGCAAGAATACTGGAGTGGGTTGCTATGTAGTGTCTCATATTTCATTGTGTCTTAAAATTGCAGCAAGATTAGGGACCTCGATCTTGTTACTGGTGCTAATCCCTTAAGGATTAAATATGTAGAACCACATTAAAATCTTGCTAGTATTAAAAAACAGATTGCTGTAGCTCTTAATATCAGGTTGGCCGAAAAGTTTGATCAAGTTTTTCCATAAGCTGTTATAGAAAAACCCAAAAGAACTTTCTGGCCAGCCCAGTAAACGCACCCAGGATGCGGTTCCCAGACACTGAGGAACTGAGAGTGTTTGGTAACTGACATCAGGTGGAGATCTTGGGAGAACCCAGTGTCTACCCAAATGCTGATCCTGGAGCTGGGCAGACACCATGTCTTTGCCTTTCCCTTGCCTGGGAGAGACAGCAGCCCTGCACAAACACCCAGCAGCTTGTCCAGGATTACGCAGGCCTGGCCTTTTATCCACATCAGAAATGCTTGGATTGAATTAAGTTGCAGCTCCTAAAGCGCCTACACAATTAGTTTTAACTGCTCTTCAGAACCCGCCTGCTGATGCAGGAGACTTGGGTTTGATTCCTGGGCCAGGAAGATCCCCTGGAGAAGGAAATGGCAACCCACTCCAGTATTCTTGCCTGGGAAATGCCATGGACAGTGAAGCCTGGCAGGGTACAATCTATGGGGTCATAAAACAGTCGGACACAACTGAGTGACTAAACAACAATATTTCATTTAGCATAATGTCCTCAAGGTTTGTCCTTGTCGCAACATGTATCATGATTTCCTTACATTTTAAGACTGAATAATATTCCACCAAATACATGTACAACGTCTGGTTTATTCATTCATCTGTTGATGGACACTTTTGTTGCTTCCACCTTTTGGCTGTTGTGAATAAAGCTGTCATGAACATGGGTGTCCTTAAATGATATTTTAAAAAAGAATTAACATTATACTGTGGTCTAAGCCCTTTACCTATATCATCTTACTTAATCCTGACTTCACCAGCTTCTCAAGGGGACACCAGCTGGTATCATCCCTCCCGGGCACACTGGGCCCAAGTGCCCTCTCCATTCAGAAGTCTGCTCTGTGTTTCTGAATGGGTCTGCCTCCCTTGACACCTGTCCCTACGTCACCAAGAACATTTTACCCTAATCCCACAGAACATCTTGGCTGTCCCTCTGGACTGAAGTTTGTCTTTCCTTCTCCCCGCTGGCAAGGCGATCCTGTAAATAACATCCACTCGGTACTTTTCTCAACACCATGAATCATTGTACGTGTGGGTATAGCGTCCTGTTTTGTAGCCTAAGACGCTGATCCTCTTGCTTTTGTTTTCATCTGTGTGCGAACCGAGGTGCTCGTGCACACCTTGGATATGTTTTGATTTCCGTGAGTATGGGATGGTTTCTCATCGCCCACCCTTGAGGGAGCATTGCACGTGCATTTGGTAGATGGTCCCTTCCCTCATGGGTGCTACTCATGCTGTGTTCCCTCATACTGAGGGGCCTCTGGGAGCTTCTCTTGTTGGTCAGTGGCTAAGCCATGCTCGACTCTTCGTGGCCCCGTGAACTGCAGCATGCCAGGCTTCCCTCTCCTTCACTATCTTCCTGGAGTTTGCTCAAACTCATGTCCATTGAGTCTATGATGCCATCCAACCACCTCATCCTCTGTCTCCCCCTTCTCCTCTTGCTCTCCATCTTTCCCAGCATCAGGGTCTTTGCCAATGAGTCAGCTCTTTGCATCAGGTATGCGAAGTATTAGAGCTTCAGCTTCAGCATCAGTGCTTCCAATGAATATTCAGGGCTGATTTCCTCTAGGATTGACTGGTTTGATCTCCTTGTTGTCCAAGGGACTCTCAAGAGTCTCCTCCAGCACCACAGTTCAAAAACATCAATTCTTTGGCACTCAGCCTTCTCTGCAGGTAGCCAAAGAGAAGTCTTTGGCTTCTCTCTCTATACACACACCCGAAATACCTGCCGTCCCTCAGCATCCTCAGGGAACTGGTTCCAGGACCCTCTTGGACACCAAAATCCATGGATGCTCAAGCTCCTTATATAAAATGGCATAGTATTTGCACAAAACCTAGGCACATCCTCCTGTGTACTTTAAAATAGTGGTTCCCAACCTTTTTGTCACCAGGGACCGGTTTTGTGGAAGACAGTTTTTCCATGGGCCAAGGTGGGGGATGGTTTGGGGATGATTCAAGCGCTTTACGTTTATTGTGCACTTTATTTCTATTATTATTACATCAGCTCCACCTCAGATCATCAGACATTCGATCCCAGAGATTGGGAACCCCTGCTTTAAAACATCTCTAGGTTACTTATAATACCCGATAATACCATGTAAATACTATGTAAATAGTTGCTTATGTATGACCAAGTTAAGTTTTGCTTTTTAGAACTCTCTGGGACTTTTTCCCAAATATTTTTGATCTGTGTTTGGTTAAATCTGCAGGTGTAGAACCCACAAATACAGAGGATGGGCTGTATACTTACATTTCTGTCTGTCTCTCTCTCTTAATGCCTTGGCATCCACTTAAGTAACCCTCCCAGCTCACATTTTCTCCAAACTGTGTTGCATCTGAAATGACCAAGTCCTCTTACCTCTCTGTCCACAGGCTGCACCTGGGAATTTGGAGCCATGGTAAACTACATCAAGAAGACATACCCCCTGACCCAGCTGGTGGTCGTGGGCTTCAGCTTGGGCGGTAACATCGTGTGTAAATACTTGGGGGAGACCCAGGCCAACCAAGAAAAGGTTCTGTGCTGCGTCAGCGTGTGTCAGGGCTACAGCGCACTGAGGTGAGTGATCTTGGCCATGTGCCCCCACTTCCTCCTGCCACTAGTCATCCAGTTAGCATTCGTTTATTGAGATGTCCCCAGCACACCAGACACTGGCCCATGAAGACCTGGGGAAATGCTGGGGCCGACTAAGCAGAAGTTTCTGGGTCTTGATTCCACCTTGCTTTGCTTCCACATCATATACTGGAGTGGTCCTTTCAGACCCCTTCAACCTGGGATATGCAGCTGTATTTTGGGGGTCAGATCTGTAATGAAGTAAGCCAAAGCCCCCCCCTTTAATAGCTGCTGTTTCCCTTTGGAGTCTCTGAGATGACTTACGTTCTTCATGCTCCAGGAGTTTTATATAACTGTGGGTTTATGAAAACACAGGAGACTTGGCAAACCAGGGTCTGAGAGCTGGATCACCTTATGACCCCAACCCCTCCTACCTGCCAAAGAGTTGGGTCTCAGATGGCGTCTGGAAGGGATCTGTAGAAACCGTTTAATCCATGCCCTCACTGTCAAATAGTTATCTCTCTCAGCATCCCAGGATCACACATAAGAGATGACCTGCTGGGTAGAGGTTTACCTCTCCCCTTAGTCTCCTGACGACAGAAACCCGCAGGGTGCGTCCTAGGAGGGCACTGTGGTCTGCTCTGACCTCCCCACCCAGATCAGTGTTGTCCTCGATCACTCCAGAGTCACCATGCACACACATTCACACACTCACACACCCATACACATACACACATACACACTCATACACATTCATGTACACACACCCATACACATACACACTCACAAACATACACATTCATATATACACACCCATACACATACACACATACACTCACACACACATATAAACCCATACACATACACACTCACACACATACACATTCATATACACACACATCTCTCTGGACTCTTTAAATGCATTCATATTTTTTCCCGTACTCACGCCTCATGATAATGTCTTTTGTATTATAAATGGGTAATGCAGAAATCTAAAATCACACACACAAAAATAAACAACAAACTCCCTGCCCTGATTGATCCAGTCTAATACCACAGACCTTGTAGATAATCCTTACTTTTTGCCTCACCTGTATCTCTCAGTGTAGTTTAAACCTATTTTGTTATTTTCTAATGGATAAGGGGCTATCTTATTTCTGAAAATATCTATTACTGGAATTTGAAATCAACACATCCAAAGGGCAAATGCAGGCTCAGAATTCAGCCTCTGCCCAAGCCTTAAAGCTGGGCCAAAATGGAGAATTTAAATGTACCCCAAAATAGACAGGAAACACTTCCCTGCTGGAACGTTTCCTGAGGTCCAGGGCTGAGGCCTGGGTCCCAGTGGTCCTCACTTGCAGTATGGGGGTGACAATAATTGGTACCTACCCCGTGGCGCCATGGTGGAGTCAAATGTGTTCATGAGAATGAACTACTGGGAACGGTGCCAGGCACGTAGAAAGTTGTCAGTAACTACCAATTATCATCATTATGCATTGTAAAACGAGAAGTAGGCTACATCAGTGGATCACAAAGACTAATCTAGAGAACTAGTGACTGCCACAGTTTGTTAAGAATCACTTGGAGGATCATGATAAAAATAAATTCATTTTCTCGGGCCCCAGCCCTGGAGATCTGATTCGTGAGTCTGGGGCATGGGGCCAGAATCTGCTTGTGGACACATTTCACGGGCGACTCCAGAGGTGTTAGCCACCTTTAGCAGTCACTGGGCCCAGGGGCCTCAGTGGTCTCTCCAGCCCTAGTGTTGCAGGCTAGGTTAGTCTCCTCATCCTTCTGTTGGGGATCCTCCCTTTCAGTTCCCCTCGACACTCTGGTTTGAACCGGGACATGTTCCTTTGTGTTGACTTGGCTAGAAATACTCAACTCCCGATTCTCAGCCATGATGTAACCAGAATTACCCAAAGCCCCATCCTTGCCAGTAACTGGGATCTTAGAGCAATGAGCAGAGGGCCCGCCCCAGGATCCCGGGGAGACCCACTCTCGTCTGACCGCTTTTGGCCAGGCTTCTAGTGTCTGTAAAAATCAGAGTCCCTTCCTAAACCAAGCACTGTCAAGTGACTAGAACACTGACTTTGTGTTCAGAGAGCACTGGATTTGACAGGAAGGAGAATGTAGGACAAGCTTGTTTTCCATGTTTTTTAACGAGCAGAAGCATAATTAACAGCCTCATTTCATTTTGCTGCAACAGCGCCATCTGCTGTTGGCCAAGCACAGGACGCGCACAATTGAGGATCCTGGGTACGGGTTTAAGCTAGGAAGCTAACCAACATCTGCGAGGGGCTCCATGCACTTTGCAGACGTGGTCCACACCACTTCTCTTTGAGGCCTCAGAGATCTTCATGTTCATAATCGTTGTCACATCAGTTGTCTGCAAAGAGGAGAGAAACAGGCAACTTTATCCTTTGGAGCAAAGAGATCCAGGCTAAGATCCTACACCCTACACACAGGAAAACTGGAGGCAGATCAAAGAGACACAGTCATCCTGTGTGTGCTGGGGCCACTCACGGCTCAGGTCCCCTCAACGTTTTAATGAGATCTACTCGCCAGGAGACAGTGCCTTACTTTCAACCAGCGTAACCTCTCTTTTCCTGCCAAGGCTTGAGGGCAGTGAGCCTTTTCAGCACTGGAATGATGGCAGCCTTGCTTCCTTTACACGGAGGTGGAGCGGGGAGGGCCCATCTGCCGCTGCAGGGGCCACACAGGAGTTCATGTTTCTGGTAAATCCCTCCCCTAGTTGAGTCTCCAGAACCGCTTGTCAGTGATCCATCCCCTCCCTCTGGCTTCTCATCCCGTAACGCACCTCCCCACTAGCCAGAGCCAGTTCTAGGCTCAGAAGCCAGCCCCCGCTTGCTGTAGTTAGCAGAGTCTAGCTGCTGCTAAACTAGCTCATGCTTGATGAGGTGCTGAACCAGCAGAGGAGGGTGACAGATGTCCCCAAACTACACTGTATCCAGCAGACTTAACTCGTTCCCTCAGCACAAACAGCTGCCAACTAGCCCTGGAAATGTGTGTGTTCAGACTCAACCTCTCTGGTTTAATAAATCACTTAACACTGTTAAGAAGACATGCTGCATGCTCTGTTGTTCAGTCATGTACGACTCTTTGCAACTCCATGGACTGTAGCTCGCCAGGTTCCTTTGTCCGTGGGATTTCCCAGACAAGGATACTGGAGTAGATTGCCATTTCCTTCTCCAGGGGATATTCCTGACACCTGGATCGAACCCACGTCTCTTATGTCTCCTGCACTGGCAGGCAGATTCTTTACCACTGAGCCACCTGGGAAACCCCTGATTAGAAATTGGGGCATCTTGAAAGGACTTTATTGATTGAGATAGGTAGATATATGGATGGGTAAAGCACTTCTTGCCTGAGCCATCTGATTCCCAGGCTGACATTCTCTTTATCCTCATGAGATGCACGCCCAGGAGCCTGCCTATCCCCCAGACCTCTTCAGCTGAAGAGGCCAGAATTCAGACCCATTCTTAACACCACTAGCTGGCCAGCTCTCCATTCACTACATGCACCCCTGTCTGCCTAATTTCACCCACTAGCAGAAGCAATGAAAACAACACCAAGGCTCCCAGGGCGACCTCTGTCAGGCCTGAGATGGAACTGCCTACATACCTTACCCATAGAACAATCTTGGTGTGAATGTTGCTTCTCTAATTCAACCTCCTAATTTGACAGATAAGGACACTGAGGCTTGGAGAGGTGAAGTGGCTTCCGCAGAGTTTGGTGAACTACCCAGTGGGGTCAGATGGGCCATAGCTCCAAGTCTCTGCGCTAACTCATGCCCACTGGGAAGCCTGGACATCTTGTTAGACCTTCATCCCATCACCAGCCCCGTTCCCTGGAGCCTGGTTGTGCCTCCTCCCTTCTCTCACTGCAGAAACATGGCATGTAAATTGGAGCTTGGCTTCAGTGGGAGCTGAAGTTCCCAGTGAGGTTCTTGTTGGGCCGTGTGTACAGTGGTTCCAGACCACTGCTGATCTTTCCTCAACCCTAAGAAATAGTTGATGAGTTTCATGGTTAATGGTTAAAACTGACTTTAATCTTCAGCTCTCCTCCTCAGGGTAGATAATTTTCAGGAGATCATAATCCAAAAGATTTTCTATTTTCTGTCTTCTTCTGTTTCTCCTTCTTCATTATTATGGAACATTTTAGGTACATACAAAATAAAAGCGATGGGGTATTGGACCCCCGTATATCCACTACCAGCTTCAAGCATGCTTAACTTTGGGCTACTCCTGTTTCCTCTGCACCTCTTCCACACATCACTCCCCTGTAAGCTGGATTATTCTAAAGCAAATCCCAGACATTATGTCATATCATTTGTAAATATTTCACTTGGTAGCACTAAAAAGACTCTAAGACTTTTTTATTTTATTTTTAATTGGAGTATAATTGCTTTACAAAGATGTGTTGGTTTCTGCCATACAACTAAACCTGAGTCAGTCATAAATATACCTATGTCCCTTCCCTCTTGAACCTCCCTCCTACCACCCGTCTAGGTTGTCACAGAGCACCGGATTGAGCTCCCCAGCAGCTTCCCACTAGCTATCTGTTTTACATATGATAATGTATATGTTTCAGTGCTGCTCTCTCATTTCGTCCCACCCTCCTCTTCCCTGCTGTGTCCACAAGTCTGTTTCGTATGTCTGCGTCTCTTATTTCTGTCCTGCAAATAGGTTCATCAGTACCGTTTTTCTGGATTTCGTATATATGCATTAATGTACAATATTTGTTTTTCTCTTTAAGAACATTTTCTTAAACACAATCACAATATCATCTTCACACCAAAAGATTATTATTTCTGAATATTAATAGCATCCTGTTTGTAGTCAGTGTTCAGATTTCTTTGATTGTCTCACAGAAGTTTTTTAACAGTTTCTTTCAATCAGAATCCCCATTATGTCCACACACTGCGTCTACTGATTTGTCTCTTCAGTTTCTTTTAGTTTATAGGTTCCCCTCTCTTTCATTTCTTCTCAGTTTGTTGTTGGTGCTGGTATTGAAGAAGTCAGATCTTTTTTTAAATAGATGAATGGGTTTTTTAAAATAATACATTGATCTCAATTATGCTTTATTAAACTAATATAAAATTAAGTTCAGTCCCTTAATTTTATACTCAAAGGTGATGAAAGGCATCCCTTAAATATACTGAATGATAAACCAAAGATGCAAGGAATCAGTTGGCCAGTGTTGACTGAATGAAGCATTGGTCCCAGCATCCTTATCCCAGTCCCTCCTTGAGCCCCAGGCCCCCATGTGTCCCCAGAGCCTTTCAGTGAGTGGTATCTCGGGTTGGGATGAGATGGTTGGGTGGCATCACCAACTCAATGGACATGAGTTTGAGCAAGCGCCAGGAGTTAGTTATGGACAGGGAAGCCTGGCGTGCTGCAGTCCATGGGGTTGCAAAGAGTTGGACACAACTGAGCAACTGAACTGAACTGAACTGAACCTCTGGGGTTATTCAACTGAGAAACCCACAGAACTGGAGCATCTTCTCATAGCCCAGGTTTATGACCAGTGCCTCCTCGCTTCCCTTACGTCTTCTGTCCCTCTGACATGAAGGTGATACTGACAGAAGCAGCTGGAAGGTCAGCAAAGGGAGGACTGGATGCGGGCAAGACCATTTCTTTGTTTCTGGACTATCAGCTTTCTGAGGGAGGGGCTGTTTGGGCCCAATGCAGAGAAGAGGGACCCAGCCTGGCAGCAGGGTGCAATTCCCAGACTGGGTGACACCCTTCTGTGACACCCTCACAGACCAAGAAGCAGGTGCCCACAGCCCTGCCTCAGCTGGGGTCCTGCCTAAGGCGATCTGGCCCATCCTTTCTTCTCATGACACCTCCAGCCCCCCGTGGGTTTATAGAATGACCTTTGAACTTTTGAAGGCAGTGTTAGTCTTCACTGTGTGCTTTAGCCCTTGTTTTATGAGCATGTCACAGGCCATTAAACCCACCAACCCTTTCACTTTTAACTTCCCACTAGCTCTTATTTTTTAACTGTGATGTTATGGGAAATGCTTGCTATGCCAAAACTGAAGTGTGACAGCTTTTGGGAAATAACTTTCATAACTCACCGGTTTATATATATATGCATATATATGTGTGTGTGTGTGTATATGTATATATATATATTTGAAAATGTTTTATTTGTATTTCTTTGATTATATTTTTCATTTTAATCGAAGCTTTTTTTGTAAATTGTGTTGGTCATGCATTGCCAATATTTTTGCTTTTATTATTTGAATGTATTTATTTTTAATTGGAGGGTAATTGCTTTTTGTTGGCTTCTGCCATACATCAATATGATCCTTGTGTTTTGTCTTTGTCTTTTTAATACCTATGAACCATCCTTTCTCTCAGGAGTCCTCTCTCTGGCCATCTGGGAAATGAGACAATGTGGGCATAGTGACACCCAGATTCATTCCCAGGGTGGAATCAGGCCTTGAGACTCAGAAATCTGCGGAATGAAGGTTAGCAAGGACACCATGGCAGCTGTGTTGGGTTCACACCCGAGGGAAGAAAGCACAGAGTGGGGAGGGCTGACTGGCAGCCTGGGAGTCGCCACCTTGGTGTTTGTTCACCTGACACGTGGGCAGGGAAATCTGGCCGCAGAGGCGAGCAGAGGAGGCTGGCCCTGCTGTCTCCTCCCACCGCACAGGGTGGTGATCCGAGCACGGATGCTTGAGTCACGCCAGCCTGGGTCACACTCAGCCGTTCCTGACCGCTCTGCTGGGACCTCTCTGAGTCCCTGATCTCCTGATCTGGAAGTGGGGATGTTACCTGTCTAGCGACCCCCCTGGAGAAGGAAATGGCAACCCACTCCAGTGCTCTTGCCTAGAGAATCCCAGGGACAGAGGAGCCTGGTAGGCTGCTGTCTATGGGGTCACACAGAGTCGGACACGACTGAAGCGACTTAGCAGCAGCAGCAGCAGCAGCGACCCCCCACCCCACATCAGAAGGCCTTGCTTTGCCAACCACACACTAGCTCTGGAGGCAGAAAAACTCAGGACCACCCCACAGCCGTGCCTAGAGGGGGCAGAGGGCCTCGATACTTCTCCCTCCTTTCCTTGCCCCTTAAATGTTCTAAGACTAATCAAAAGAAAGCTCAACTTATATGATTTTCCTTTGCCTTGCAAATGGCAACAAAAGAAGTGTTTTATTTTTTTTCCCTTCCCATTTTTTAAAAATTGTGTTGAATGATTCTTTAAACTCTCTAGTGTTTTACAATTTAAAAAGTTTCAAGTGCCATTTACAGACACATGGATGGACCTAGAGACTGTCATACAGACTGAAATAAGTCAGAAAGAGAAAAACAAATATCGGAGAATATCACCGATTCGTGGAAATCTAGGAAAGTGGTAGATATGACCTTATTTGCAAAGCAGAAATAGAGATACAGATGTAGCGAATGAAACTTATAGACACCAAAAGAGGAAGGGGCAGTGGGAGGAACTGGAAGATTGGAGCTGACACATATACACTACTATGTATAAAACAGATAACTAATGAGAACCTACTCTAATAGCACAGGAAACTCTACTCAATGCTCTTGTGGTGACCTAAATGTGAAGGAAATCTAAAACATTGTGGGTGTGTGTGCACATACGGCTGATTCACTTTGTTGTACGGCAGAAACTAACACATTGTAAAGCAACTATACTCAGTAAAAATTAATTTTAAAAGTTTCACACACATGATTCCGTATAATCCCATAATAACCCTTCCACCCATATTGCCCGCTCCCCTTCCCTCTCCCCACCGATAACCACTAGTTTATTTGGGAGTCGGCTTCTTTTTAGTTTTATTTGCTAGTTTGTTGTATTTTTTATACATTCCACACAAAAATGATAAAATGAAGTGTTTTTAGGTTTTGCCATGCACTTATCTTCTCCACACACCCTGTCCCTACACATGGTCCTGTTATGAAGCCAGAAAAACTTGCTCGCAGGGTAGAAAGCCAAGGAGAGATACTGTTCGAATGACAATCAAAGCAGGTCCTGTGACAGAGACCCAGAGACGGAAGAGGGGGTCAGGAGTGTCTCTGGCAAAGCCCGTGGCCCCAGAGACCTTCCGGGCTGGGGCCTCTCGTTGAGCAACTTCAACGTTCATTCACTTAATGTTCGGGTGGCTCTGCCCTTAGTCTGAGGACCACGTGTTCGAGCCCAGGTTCCCGCCAAGGGAGCCGGCCCCTCCCGTGGCAGGAGCTCTGCCTCCTCCCCGCGCCAGCCCCAGCCTCTCCGCTCCAGGACGCCCCCCTCCTCCCCTTCTCACTCTTCCCTTGTGGATCTCCCAGGGCCCAGGAGACCTTCATGCAGTGGGACCAGTGCCGGCGCTTCTACAACTTCCTCATGGCCGACAACATGAAGAAGATCATTCTCTCGCACCGGTGAGGCGCCTTCCCTTCCCTCGGGAGACAGACTGTACCTTTGGTTTTTGGGGGGTGTTTTGGCTGCAGCAGGTCTTCATTGCAGCCTGGAGGATCTTTAGTCGCAGCATTTGGGATCTAGTTCCCTGAACAGGGAATCGAACCCCAGGCCCCCTGCATTGGGAGCATGGAGTCTTAGCCACTAGACCAGCAGGGAAGTCCCCAGACAGTGCCTTTCTGAGCTTATTTCACTAAATGCCAAAATTCCTCTTTCTCTAGGAAAAAAAAAAGAAGAAGGCAGGGTTGGTGCAGATTCTCAGCTGACTGCTTTGTGACTTGGTTAGAAACAAATTCATCCCAAGCTGCCAAATTCACAAATCGCTATCTGCTTCCATACTTTTCAAAAAATTCAAGAAGGAAGAGAAACCATTTCCACACCATTCTTTCCCAAATGAGGGGCATCCTGGGGCTTCCCTGGTGGTCCAGTGGTTAAGACATCGAGCTTCCACATGCAGCCCAAAAACTTTTTTGAAGTTTTAATTTTAAAAAGGCAAAGTTCATTATTAAAAAAAAAAAATGAGGGCCATCCTGAAGGTGGCTTGTCACTGTGGAGGTATGTTTCTCTTCAGGAGATTTTTGTGCTTGGGGGGACCCAGAGTCGTTCTCTGCTGGCTCTTGGGGTTCTGATCAAGCAGCAGTGGACAGGAGCCCTACCACTGGTGCCAAGCGTGGTGTCCACACTCTCCACACCCTGCCTGCCCATCTCCTGCTCAGAATGCTTTGGTGGGTTAGCCCCTGGCAAGTGCTGAGAGCAGCGCCTGGCTGGCAGTAGCACTCAGGGAATATTAGTGATGATTTCACCACTGTGACTATCCTTAGCCATATGGGTTCTCCCCCTTCCCCCACATGCCCCTCTCCCCCCTCCAGCTGGAGCAGGCCACCCAGAGACCCCCATGCCCCCTGGCCTCTCCCGACCCTCCTCCCATCACCTCTGCTTGTCCAGACCCAGCCCACTTCTTTTAGGTCCATCTCTGGTCTCTGCCTCCGTGAAGCCGGCTCCTTCCCACCAGTTGTTTTTCTGCTGTTTCTCCCGCAGTGTGAATCCTGCATCCATGAACCAACTGGAAAGCATGGGAGGGCTCAGGCATGTTTTGATTCTCTCAGAGCCTGGTACACAAATGGGCACTCAGAGTACCATTTTAGGGGGGTTCTGAGGCCATCCTAGGAAAAGCAATCTGTCTGAATGATCAGTTTCTTATTCTCTTTTTCTCAACAGTTAAAAGAAAATGCTGTACTATCCAGCCAGCCAGATAGCCCAGATTGGGCTTCCTGTGGGTGGGGTTCCCATGGCGCCTGGGCTGGGGTGGCGCTCACAGGCCCCTGGGTGGCCCAGCGGCCGGGTGCGTCCCCAGGCTGTGGTGCTGGGTGGGCGGAGACCCTCGGAGACTTACGTGCCCCAGGCTGGCCTTCCTGTCAGGCTCCGAGTCAGGTGTGGCTCGGCTGAGGTTTGGATGGATCCAGGGGTTTGCTGAGGACCCACACGGGGTGAAAGCAGGCCATCAGACCCCAAGTCCAAGGCCTCTGTCTGCCTTTCCACACCTCTGGGGTAGAAAGTAAGCTCCTCCCAGAGAACATTTGTTTGCTGCCGGGCCCAGTCTTGGCGTTAATTAATAAGTCCAGAAAGGCCATCGTGTAATTCTTAACAAATTGGGAGAGTCCTTTGAATGTGCTCTCAGTGTTTTTAAACTTACCACAGAAAGTCAAACATCTCGAAGTTTTCAGGCCCCTTCATTAGAGTTTTTGTTTTCCCCACCAGCATCATCATTCCTTTCTTAAAATTTTTTTCTAGTTTTATCGGGACACATTTTAAATTGGGAATTCTATCCTTTAAGTATATGATCTTCCTAATACTCTTTTGAAAAAGAAAATTTTTTTTTTTTTTTTAAGAAATTGGTTCCTTTCCTTTGGAAGAGGTGATGATTGGCTACCAGAACATTTAGTTTCTATAATGAATTTTTCCCACTGTGGGGCCAAACCTCAAAACAAACTCAGTCAGTCTTCCTTTAGCTGTGTGAGTGACAGCTTTCACTGGGAATGGACATCTAAATGTGCTCACTGTGACCTCTGTCTTTACGCTCATCCTCTCTAGAGTGATCATTTTCTTAACTAGAAACTAGAACCAACTTGGATTAGTCTTCCAGTATGTTACTGTTGTTCAGTCGCTAAGTCATGTCATACTCCCTGCACCTCATGGACTGCAGCACGCCAGGCTCCTCTGTCCTCCACTTCAGCGTATACATTAGCTTTTTATGTAAAAAACAAACTGTGAGATGAATGTTTGGTGGGGAAAATTTTTTAATATTTATTTTTGTTTACTTATTTGCCTGCACCGGGTCTTAGTTGTGGCATGCAGGATCTTCTCATTTTGGCCTGTGGGATCTAATTCCCTGACCAGGGATCGAATCTGGGCCCCTTCCACTGGGAGCGTGGAGTCTTAGCCACTGGACCACCAGGGAAGTCCCTACATTTGCTTTTTAGCTAACATATTGGAAAGTGGTTGATTTGCCCAAGTGCTGAATGGGTTAGCCATTAACTTCCTTGGTAAGTGATGTGAAGCGTTCACAAAGGGACAGGGGTTCTGCCAAAGGGAGCGTGGTAACACCAGTGTAAAGTTGGGTGACCCCCCTCACCCCTGCCCTTGGTTGGCTGACAGCCCACCCCAGGCCACACAGCCCATCCTGAGATCTCTCTGCAGGGCCAATTTTGAAATAGTCATCTAGGCTGAAGCCTAGTCTTTAGTTTGTCTCGCTGCCCCTCGCAGGGAAAATAAGGTCTTGATATTCATTGTTCTCCAGGTCTTCAAAAGTCAACAAGCTCATCCTCTGGGACATTCCAATGGCTGAAGGGGTTTATTTCTAAGTTATCCACGTCCGCTTCACAGACTCTCCTGGCTTGCCTCTGGGCCAGGAAGCAGGCTCAGCTGTGGTTGTTTATCATGTACTTTAAAAAACTTTTTTTTTTCAGCTTTACGGAGGTATAAGTGACCAAATGGTAAGTTACTTCATTGTACAGCGTGCTGATTCTCATTCTGTTTGCTTTCCGTCTCCTCCTAGGCAAGCTCTTTTTGGAGACCATGTGAAGAAACCCCAGAGCCTGGAGGACACGGACTTGAGCCGCCTCTACACAGCCACATCTCTGATGCAGATTGACGACAACGTGATGAGGTGTGCCCACAGCCCGGGGCGGGGTGCCAGGCAGGAGGCAGTGGGCCAGCGCTGCCCAGCACCAGGGGTTTCCTCTGCACACTTTGATGTTAAGGGTTTTGTTTCTTTTTTTTTTTTTAATGCCTACTGTTTAAAAACTGAAGATTTCAGGACTTCACTGATGGTCCAGTGGTTAATATTCTGGCTTTCACTGCAGGGGGCCCCTCAGGTTCAATTCCTATTCAAGGAACTAAGATCCCACATGCCGTGCAGCATGGCCAAAAAGTTTAAAAAAAAAAAAAAAAAAAGGAGAAGGAAACCTGAAGATTTCAGAGAGAAATCCAAATTTCTAATGTCTCTTAAAAAAATAGGAAGATGTTCTGACCATTCCTCGTCCTTCACTCCTACCTTGCCCAACTGAACTTGAACAGGGGAGCTGGGGTGAGTGCACCCTAGTTGTCCGTAGTCCTCGTCTCTGGGATGGAGATCAGATGTCACATAAATGCATGTGGCTGTGGAGTAAAGGAGAAGGAAATGCTTCCTGCAGCTGTACCTGCCCATGTCTCTATCCAAAGTAGAAAAACCGAAAGTAACCAAGAGAGCTGGGTGTTGCGAGAAAAATGAACAGAGCCTCTTCCTTTGGGGGCATGAAGACGCTCCTCTCTGAGTGTCATACCAAACCCCACCCACCTCACTCAGGGACCCTTACCCTCTCCAGGCTCCTGAGGTCACCCCTTTGACAGTGTCCTCTTTCCTGGCACCAGAGGTTTCTGATTGAGGTTAGCCTCACCTGGAAAGGTAAAGCTGATCTCTGACCTCATCGTTCTCTTTTAAAAACATTATTCTTTTTGTTTAATAATCATTTGATGCCTTCAGATGTGGCTTAAAGTTCATCCAAATAGACAGATATTAACCTGAGGGCATGGGATCTGTACTTACCTTCCTTATGAGGTTTTAGTAGCCTTCTTACACCAAGTAACTTTGAAATATGCCATAAATATGCCCATGAAATATGCCCAGTTACTCAGAGGAAATGGAAATTGCTGGTATGTTCAACAGGAGAGAATGAATTATACCCACACTCACTTACCATGGGGCATGCAGCTTTACAGTGGTGCAGACACTGTACTGGGCTACTGTTGTGGCTCAGACAGTAAAGAATATGCCTGCAATGCGGGAGGCCGGGGTTTAATCCCTTGATTGGTAAGATCTCCTGGAGAAGAGAATGGCTACCCAGTCCAGTATTCTTGCCTAGAAAATCCCATCGACAGAGGAGCCTCGCAGGCTACCGTCCATGGGATCACAAAGAAGTTGGACATGGCTGAGCAACTAACACTATCACTTTTCAGGCACTATACTGATGAAGAAAACAAAAATCACATAAATTTCATTCATCTTCTAAATTTTAAGTCCAAAGAGAGTGTTTAGGAAGAATCTGTTCTCTTTAGCTCCGTTTTACAGAGGAGAGGGCTTCCCCTGTGGCTCAGCTGGTACAGAATCCGCCTACAATGCGGGAGACCTGGGTTCGATCCCTGGGTTGGGAAGATCCCCTGGAGAAGGGAAAGGCTACCCACTTCGGTATTCCGACCTAGAGAATTCCATGGGCTATACAGTCCATGAGGTTGAAAAGAGTCAGATACAACTAAGTGACTTTCACTTACAGAGGAGGAGCTCAGAGAGGTTAAGTGCTTTGTATAAGGTCACATAGTCAATAAGTGACAGAGCCAGAATTTGAACCCAGATGCCATAGCTGGGTGTTCTTAACCCCTAACTCCGGTACCTGTGTATATTCTACTGATAATATGTTAGAGTGGGAACTGGCACAGTAATAGATCAACTCAGCATTCTAATCTTATTCCAAGTGTTGTTTTGTCTTTTTCTTTTGTGTGTGTGTGTGGGTGGGTGTGTTCCAGGAAGTTTCACGGCTACAACTCCCTGAAGGAATATTACGAGGAAGAAAGTTGCATGAGATATCTGCACAGGGTGAGTGGCCACAGCTCAGAGAGCAACATCTCAGAATTAGCATCACTCCACCCAGCTCCACCCAGTGTATAACAAGTCTCCCTCCTCAGCTTCCCTGGCAGAAGTTCAGCCAGCGTCTGGCTCCATCCACTGTAGTTGTTGACTTGAGTGTATTATCGAACAAAGCCCTGCCCCTCTGTGACCTCTGTGTAGTAACCGCAGAGCTGTTCCTAAGCACAGTCTGCTCCCGGGTCTGTGTGGAAGCCCTTTAAGTCACTGCCACATCCATTTTTTTCAGAAGTCCTCCTTTGATAGTGTCATCCTGCCTGGTTCCTACTGGGGTTCCTCATAGGAAGCCCATGTAGATTTCTTATAATCCTAGACTCTTTTGGGTCATTGTGTCTTTCTTTCATTGGTTTGGTGCCCAGGACTGAACTCAAAATTCCTGCCCTGATCTGTCAAGCACAGAGCAAAACAGATATCTTTCTGTATCCAAATGGTAGAGGAGCATGTCTTTGGTTGAAGTGGATTGGTTTATATTAACGCAGTTGTCAGCAACGATGATGAACTTTGTATGGATTAAATCAAGCTTGTGGCCGATCATAACCACTATGCTTTTTTTAACCTGAACCACCACCAAACCAGTGTTTCCCCTTTCTGTCTTTGATCAACTGCTCTTTTTACTCAAACACAGGACTTCCCAATTATCCCTGTCAATGTCCACCTGTTAGTCTGGCCCACCACTCCTCCAGCTAAAGCAGATCATTGTGAATGGCAGCTCTGCCATCGTGTCGTGTCAGCCGCCCCACATACTTTAGCATCATCATCTGGGCCTTTCGTGTATTCATTTAAGGCATTACAGAAATGTGGAACTGTTCAAAGTCAATGTCAGGGGCCTCCAGGTACGGCAGCCAGTCATTATACTTCCTGGGCATGGCTGTTCAGTAATATCTGAGTGGCCCCATCAGCACCATCTCCGCTAAGAAGAAAAAGGACACTGCTGGCTGTTTTGCTAAAGTGGATGTTGAACGCACAGCTGCCAAGAGCCTCCCAAGATCTACCAGCCTGCTCCTGTTTTCCTTCCTCAGATGCTTCTAGAAAGGCTCCTTTGTCTGCAGTGAAGCAGACTCCTTTCTTTCTCCCCACAATATAAATTGGATGACCATGTACATAACTCTGTAAAGTCGTTTTTCTGAAAGATATGGCTAATCTGAGACACTGTGAAGATGATCAGAAATATGTTGCCAGCGAGTATTGTAGTCTTGAGCCTTGCCCCATCAGAGCACGTGGGTCACCTTGGGCACCAAGCATGGCTCCTGTACATGCCTGCCAGGGCGGCAATCCCAGCGGCCGCTGCCAGGGAGCACAGGGCATCCTTAGTCCATTAGTTCAGCAGACTGGGCACCGACCCGCTTCCCTTCGCTTCAGAAACATGTCCAGTAGTGTATTTCAGCCTTGGATCAATGGGATCTAAAAAAGAGAGTTGATCATTTAATCCTGCTTTTATTTCCTTGTTTCAGATTTATGTACCTCTCATGCTGGTGAATGCAGCCGATGACCCCTTAGTGCACGAAAGTCTTCTAACCATTCCAAAATCTCTTTCAGGTAAGTGTTTCTTCCCGCCGCTCTCTCAACCACTCAGCAAACTACCACAGTATGTCACCTTCACCACGCTGACATCTCCTGGATACCAGAGCATGTTATGGCAGTATTCTTATTTAGTCTAGCCTGATAGGCCTGGGGCTGTGGTAGAGCCTGGGTTGAGCCTTTCATGTTCTGTCCTGGTGCAAGAGACAGGGTCGTCATTTATAACCACAACCAAGAGGTTTGGGGGAGTCCCCTGGTATTCTATGAAATTATTGCCTCAGGGATGTGACTCCATTAAGTCTGAGAGTTTGACTTAAAGAGATATTTAGACTTAAAACTTTGACCTGAAAAGAAAAAAAAAAAAGCCAGTTCTGCTGCCTCTTGTGACAGACAGCCTCCCTGTCCGCTTTGAGGATAAAAATATAAGCCAATGAAAAAGCAGAGAAGGTCACTCATGGGAATACCATCGTGTTTCAGGCTGGCATGACCTCATGCCTTGCTAGGTAGGAGCTACAGAAAGAACTGGAAAGAGGGAAGCAGAGGAAATACTTGGGTCACAAACCACAGTTACTGTGCATTGTCATTCAGATCCCTCGGACCAGACCTCCCTGCCCCATCCTCTGTGATTATGTTTCCTCTTATAAACATCATGTGTTAACCAGAGGGAAAGGGGTACATCTGATTCTCTCATGACCCCAAGTTAAAGAGTAGATAATGCAGCAAGCAAAGGACCTATGTCCAGACAGAGCTCTATTCTCCACTCAGAGCGAATGCATGTGTCGCAGGTGCGTTATGTGATAAAAGCTGTCGCCTGTCAACCGCCTGTCAAACCACAGGCTCCCTGCACAAAAACAGCCCTGTTGGCAGCGGCAAGAGGACACAGGCTTCCTTCTGCACATCTAAAGTAACATCCACAGCGCTCGCGCTGTTGTACAGAAACTGATGAAACAGCAGCCCAAAGGGAAAAATAAAGGGGGTCAGACAAGAAAAGAGCCCTGCAGAGCCAGAAATGCAGGTTCCGAGAAGCGCTTCAGAGGCCTGGAGCAGCCAGCAAGGGGCCCCTTGTCACTCGTCCCCCTGGGAAGACAGATGCTCTTTATGGTACCTGAATGCACCTGGCTACCCATTTTTGCACATATCTTCAGTAGTGGCTTTACTAGCCCATGTGGGACTAGCTTAAACGTGGACTCATAAAGTCAAGCTCCAGGTTTGTAATTCTCAGATGGCCATTTATCATATGAGGTTGAGAGCTCGGGCAGCTTTTAATACAACTTGCAGCTTTATGTTTTAGTCTTACAAGATAAAGTTCTGTAGTGGAAAATCATTGGCTCCACTGAATTCATCTGGTTCTTTGGTCAATAAGAGTGTGTTAGGAATCTGTCCTCAAAATCTGGGCCCCACCAGTAGCATCAGCATCACCTGGGAGCTTGTGAGAACCTCAGAGTCTCAGCTCCTTAAATCCAGGCCTGTTAAAGCCAAACCTGCATTTTAAGTCAATTTCCTGGGTGACTTGGGTTGGCCAAAAAGTTTGTTCAGATTTGTAAGATGGTGCAGAAAAACCTGAATGAATTTTTTGGCCACCCCGATACTTGGCTGTATGGTTGAGTCACCTGGGATTTTTAGCAACACCGATGCTGGGTGCTCCCTCTTTCACTTGCCAACCCCTAGTTCCACCCCACCCCTGCCCTCACATCAGAATCTCACTGGTCTGGGTGTAACATAGGGACCTTTATTAAAAAAAAAAAAATTCAGGTGATTCTAATAGGCAGCCAAGTTTGAGAACCACTTAGAGTTCTAAGGATGTCCTAAATGGCAACGCACTCCAGTACTCTTGCCTGGAGAATCCCATGGACAGAGGAGCCTGCTGGACTATGGTCCATGGGGTCACAAGAGTTGGACACGACTGAGCAACTAAACCTAAGCCGGTACCCATTCTGCTCCAAAGCTAAGCTGCTATTCCCAAATCTGCTCGATCTCACCATCTTGTCTGCCCCCACCAAGTATACACCTGCCCCCACCACTGGTGAACAAGGCAGAGGGGATGGAGATAGATGCCCACTTAGGGGGGGACACCTTCGCCCCTGGGGAAAGCCTGGGCTGCCCTGGCCAGCTTGCTCTCCCACCTCCAGCCCTGGAGCTGGTCAGAGGACAGTGACTCACTCAGCTGCCTTTCTCCTGCAGAGAAACGGGAGAACGTCATGTTTGTGCTGCCCCTGCACGGGGGCCATCTGGGCTTCTTTGAGGGCTCCGTGCTGTTCCCCGAGCCCCTGACGTGGATGGATAAGCTGGTGGTGGAGTACGCCAACGCCATTTGCCAGTGGGAACGTAACAAGTCGCAGTGCTCCGACACGGAGCTGGTGGAGGCCGACCTGGAGTGAGGCGCCCCCCACCACCCCGCCCCCCAGACTCTGGCGTGCTCCAGCCACCCTCCTCTGGAACTCTCGTCCCTCACCGGCTGTTTCAGGTCTCCCATCTCCCTCAGCGACCTGGATCTGACCTCACACCATCAACAGGGACCACCCATCAGGCACACACGCGACCTGAAGTGGGTGGCCGACCCTGGGAGCTCCAGGCTATTTTTGTGCTTAGTTACTGGTTTTGTCCATTGCATTTGTTAGCCATGGTGACAAGTGACAGGGTTCTCACCCTGATGTCCGGTGTCAGCATCGGATTGCTTTCAAGCCAATTACATCTAGTTTCCCTATTAAAAAGCGTGTCTGAACAGCAGTTTTGCTTTGCCAATCAAATTTTCCCCAAGAGCAGGGAAGGATGGATGTTATGCTGTGGCAACTGTATGTGTCCTGGACTTAGACCCTAAATAGAGCCAATATTGTAGCTACAGTTCAGCTTGGGGGCCTGGGGCCCTGGGCCCCCACTGCCGAGAGTTTGGTCTCTTACATGATAAAATTCCCTTGAGTCAGAAGCCAAGTTTCTCCCTTGTGCATTCCTGATGATGAGAGTTACCTGGGGCGCTTGTTACAAATTCAGCCTCCCATGTCCCTCCCCTTGGAGGTGTTTCTGTGGGGCTGGGAAGGGGCCTGGGATTTTAATTTTTGACAAGTGCCGCAGGTGATCCTTCTCACCAGGCAAATTCAAGAAACCCAGCGGTGTGGAGCCGCTAAATTAGAACCGTCTTGGTAGCTCATGGTATCTCGTAGCTCCCAGGAGCCTCCAAAGCAGCAATGCTTATTGCGTGTACCTGCCCTGATGTGATAGCCATGAGCAGTTTCAGCAAGGGCCTGGGCTGGTGGTGGAGACTTCAGGCCTGCCTCTGCCTCTCACTGGCTATGTGACCCTGGAAAAGTCCCTTTGAACTTTTCTTTCTTCACCTGTAAAATGCAGGGTGGCTGGACCAGGCAGATGGCTGAAATCACTACCAGTTCTAAAGTTCAATGACAAACTCAGTTTACTGAGGTTTGAGAGAACTCTCCAGGAGAGCCCAGGAGCTATTCTAAGCATGTCATCATTTGCCTTTTTTTTTTTTCTGTCCCTTGTTTCATATAAAGTGGTTTTTGTTTTTTTAAGTACTCATTTTATTTTTTTTAACCCAGTTCTCTCTAACTCTGGCTTTTGATACCAAATAGTTCAAAGGTTGGATATGAGTTTGGAGAAATCGCTTTTCAACTGAGAAATCATCAGGGCAGATGATTTTGGAAACTGGATTTTTAATTGAATAACTTCTATCTGTAGCCTGTTGGATAGGTCTTTCCAGAGTGTGTCTTCTCAAATGAAAAGCCCACGCTGTGTTTCAAGTACTCCTTTCCTCCAGTCCTGTGGTACTTGAATATCTAAAAACCCTGCACTTTGAAATAATCAGCAGTTGCTATCTGGAACTGAGCAGAATTATGAGTGAAATGACCTAGATACTTTAAAAAAAAAAAAAATTCTTCCTCTACTTTGCTCTAGGACAGACTGGAATATTAATAGTGGGTCTGTGTGCAGATGTTTAAGGGGTGAAGACAGCCATATGAGGGCCTGGGTGCGGACCCTCTGGGTCACAGGTGGTTGTAGTTTGGGCATTGGTCCGAGTCATGTGACAGTCATGTGTTGTTTTCTGACAATCACCAGATCATCCTAAATGGTAACATCAAAACTGCTGTTATCTGAAGAGCCTGAGGATTCTCTGGTCTTGACTTGGCTTCGGTTTCTCTCTCTCTCACACACTCAAATTCATCATCATGACTTTCCCCCCAGGTTGTTATTTTTCAAGTGCATGTCTCATTCATGTTCTTTTAGCACAGATAGGCACTTTATTTTCTGCCCCTCAATTTGGAAGCTCGTCTCTTCCCTCTGTTACTTTTCCCTCTAAGCTGCAACCACAGCTATAATCTAGAAGGTTCATAGTCATATTTCCTGCTCCTACCTTCCTGCCTCAAAACTTTTTGTGAAATCAGATAAATGAAGCAATAACCTAACGGGGCTGAATCACCATCCCAGGAAGCAAGAGGCTCCTTTTCATTTGCCTTAGGACACATCCCTTGATCTGTTCCGACTATATAGCAGCCAGGTACCAGCTCCATTCAAGAAGAGAAAGTAGCTCTGTTGTCACACGCTTGTCAGGCAGGGACAGGAGTCCCTGGAGCCTGGTGTGCCCGGCAGTTCTGTTGACCCACAGAGAAGAGGCAGGGCTCAGAGCGTTCCCTTTGTTGCTGGACAACCGGATTTTACCCCACACGGCCGTGGGGGCCATGCACAGCTGAAGTCTTTTTAGCGTGTGATTCTGAATGGCACTTTTTGGCTCACATGAAATCAACTGAGGCCCTTTGTTTGAGCTTCAGGCTCTCATGCATGGAAATGAGAATGTAACTGTGGCTGTCTTTACAGGAAAATTCTTGTTAGTTCCTGAATGGGAGCACAGAGGCATTCAAGCCTAATAAACAAGGGAGCAGCACTTTATAGTCGGTCAGCTTTTTCCTCCCTCCCATTTGCCTGGCTTTTCTGTTCATTTATGATGATAATGTGCTGGCTCTTCTTGCTCCTGGGGTCCTCTTGGGGCTAACACAAGGCTGAATTTTCAGAGAGTTTGAATATTATATTTTAAAATCAGGTTAAGGACATAAATTGCAATGGCCTAGACAATTCTGTTGCTGGAAGAACATGTTAAAAAACCAAGCAGGCTTCTAGCAACATCTTTCCAAGTTTTTCTCCCTGCCTCTATAAACAGTTTTGAAGGCAGCAGTTAGTAACTGATCCCAGTCAAGTTAGGATTGTGCATGTTCAGTCACTCAGTCCTGTCCGACTCTTTGCAACCCCATGGACTGTAGCCCACCAGGCTCCTCTGTCCATGGGATTTCCCAGGCAAGAATACTGGAGTGGGTTGCCATTTCCTCCTCCACGGGATCTTTCCGACCCAGGATCAAAACCCCGTCTCCTGTGTCTCTTGCATTGGCAGGCGAAGTCTCTACCACTGAGCCACCTGGGAAGCCCAAATTAAGATTATCTGACTTGAAAAATGGTCTCAAGTCTTCTTGATGCACTTATATCAGTAGGGAGTTTAACAGTCTTAAAGAAAACCTCTTACCTTCTCTGTTGTGAGTCTGTACCAATGATTCCAGGGCAGAATGAAGACAGAAAGTTATTTGTTGTCACTTTATTCCTTAAACCTCCTGCAGGCATTTCCCACGTACCTTAGAATGGGAACATACCTGCCAGGGGAGCATCCTTTCCTGACTTGGTGTTAATGTAACCAGGGTCCTGGACACCTGGGTTCTTCTCCTGTCTCTAATTCACACTGGTTTGTGGGCAATCTCTTCCCCTCCCTAAGCCTCAGTTACCTCACCTTAGATCATCTGTAAGTCCAGTTCATCTGTTTACATGTCCTTTGCCAGAACATTCCCAACTGGCCTTTTACAGCCCTTGTAAGTGGACGCAGATAAGTCAAGGCTTCGGGCTTGTCGTGAGGAGTCTTGGAGAGAGCGTGAGCTCCTGCACTCAGCCTGTGCTGGTGAAGAACCTTGATTTTGCCCAAAGCCCCGTGTCCCTAACTGGCTTCTCTTCAGAGCCTCTGTTGTCCTCTCAGTAGCCTTTCTGTGCCGAGGGCCGTCTCATGACGGGGACAGGTGCCGACCATTGGAACAAAGCGAATATCCCCGTCATTCTGTGAGATTCGGGCAAGTGTTGAGCGTTCCCAGGGCAGGAATCCTTCCTGCTAAGGCTTCCATTCTCAAACTGCAGTCTTCATTAGAGCTGAGATTTCTGGATAGTCGAGTTTGTCTGCCTGGCATCTGAATGAGAGCTCTCTTTGTCACTGTGTGGCTCGTGATCCATTTTGCCAGTGCCCGGGAAACAATACATGTGTTCTTGTTTGTGTTTGCCAGGCTAGCAGATGTCTGAGCTCTGAAGGGCTTTTCTTTTCCCCCATGGCACTGATTCTGACTTAGCGCTGAAGATCACTGAAACATCACCTTGAGTTCAAAGAACTCTGATCTTTATCCTCTGAGGCAGGACAGGAGAGTTATATTAAGCATTTTGCTGCAGCGTCCGCTCACAATATCAGCTAGAATCATTTTTCTTTGTCCAGAAAGCCTTAACTTGCCTCTAGAATATCCCCTGGTAGGATAATGCTATGTGGCTGCAGAATTGAAATTCTCCTGCTGTATTAGTCTGCAACAAAGCCACAGCAAAACCAGAGAATGTTACATTAGGTATCTCCCACCCCTTGACAATTAAGAGCAGTCTGGAACTGGCCAAACACCTCGTCTCTGATGTCTTGCTTCCTTCTTGGCCTCACTCTGTAGTTCAAAGACTAGTGTGGATTAGTTAGATGCTTCCAAAAGCCATGAAAAGCCGCCTGCGTGTGGCATTTAGTGGCCAAGCAGTTGAGGGAAAGGTGTTCTCCCCACGTTATCAAAGCAGAGGAAGGTGTCCCCCACCCCACCCGGCCCCTGCCCCCGAGACTTCCCTGGTGGTCCACGTTAAGACTCCTCACTCCCAGTGCAAGGGGCAAGGTTCAGTCCCTGGTCGGGGAACTAAGATCCTGCATGCTGCAAGCGTGGCCAAAAAAATACAGAAGAAAATAGCCACCACCAACCCCCTTCTTATACTAAGATTGCTTTTGCCAAATTGTATTTGAAGGGGAGCAGGCAGTGAGAACTGGAATGCTATCCAAAACTAAAAGCTGCTTCCTCGTGTGTGTGTCGCTGCTCCTGCTGCCTTGGCCGGCTGCTGTAGCCCAAGCACCCGCCCCGCCCCGCAAGTGGACCTTAGAGGCAGGCTGCCGAGCCCAGCTCAGCGGCGGTTCTCAGACCCCAGACAGTGGCCAGCTGCCCCTCCTTCCCAACACGTCATGTCTTCTGAACCATGTTTTTCCCAGCATGTATGTGGATAAAACGTTCATCTATCTCTAATGAGAACTTTTAGTAACGAAGCCTATAACCTGCCTTCCCTCCCTCCTGGTGTCCCCGTTAGCCAAGAAATCCATTGCCGTAAGTTAGGGACTGACCACCTATATAGCACCTGCAGAAATACCCTTCATTCCGTGGGGCATTCTCCTTCCAGGCCACCCACGTGCCGCAGCCAACAGTCGCCTAGCATGCCGGCTGTGCCCTCAGCCCCAGCCCCAGCCGCCTCTCCCCGAGGCCGTTGTGGGGGGTGGACTGAGTTCCCGGGCGGGCGGGCGTGGGAGTTAGGTTTCCTTTGGTTTTTGTTTTGGGCCTCTTTAGTCTTCCTAAAGCACAAGTCCTTGTAGACGCCTGTCCCCTCTTCTCCACACCAGTCTCAGACGATCT